GGATGCATTGAGGGCTGTCAAATTTCTAAATGGTTAGCTCCTGAGTTATTCCACTCTATATGTTCAAATGGCAAGGTATGATCAAAGGTCTCATGCTAGTTCCAAACCCACCACTCACCACGTGGAAAAAGGTGTTAGCTGCATAGAAGACTTTAAAGATGGACGATCTTATGCAGAGGGGTTCATATGTCTGTCAAATCCACTCAGTTAAAGGATAATATTGTATCAGATGGTCAAAAAGAAGAGGTTTTAAAATCGCTTAACATCCTTGAATACATTCCTGAAAATTTAGATTGGTGGGATTACAACGGAATGCTGTTGGGATAGTTAGATATCCTGATACTTACAAATGCCATTGATCAAATCTTGTCAGAGGAAATTATGTTATTATCTCTGGAACTTGGTCAGGAGTTTCTGTTTGAGCTTATGAGCAATAGTGATATAGATGCTGAGAAACTTTTCAACGTCGAAGAAAAATTTCACCTTGTTACTACTATTCGAGTAGGTAAAAGAAGGAAAAAAGGTAAGGCAAAATATTTGGACCAAGATCCAATCGCAGGTCTCGCCAGATAAAGACACCTCTAGTTTCCAATGTTCAAGAGCGCTTATCGGATGAAGATATTTCGTTCTCGAAATAGAGCTTTTCTAGATGGATATGATAGTGGTTACGAGGTTAATGTTGAGAGTTCTAGCGTTTTGCTATTTGCATGCTTTTGGGATATGAAAGAGCCCCTATGTAAAAAGAATCATCGACCATGAAAGTTGTTTTCTATATTTTTTGAAATTGTGATGCTTTGGAGATCAATTGGGGCATCCAGTTTGATAAAAATAATTTAAAAACCTGAATGATATGGTAGATGTCATGCAAAGGTGGGTGGTGATTTTGTTCTGTAAGGGATAGTGGTGTTTGCTCTCATTATTTGTTTACCGACCATGGTAGTGTTTTTTTTTCCTTTTTTGTTTGGATGTCATGATTTCTTCTTTTTAGGTGAAGTCTTTCGTTAGAATTGTGCTAGATGTTTTTTTTTGTTGTTTCTGGTATGGCTTTAACTATGTTTCTTGGTAAGATTCTTGTATTTCACTGATGATGTTCTTTTGATCTCTAATGAAAAAATGGGCTTAACAAAAAAAAAGTTTACACAACTATTGCTTTTTATTTCGTAAAAGAACAGTTAAATTCCCTAATTTGACAAAAAAAAGGATAAAAATAGCACTTATTTTTATTGCATATAATAAAAAGAGAGCATATAATTTACAACTATTATAATTCAATTAATTAATTATAATTTAAAATTATATAAAATTTATCAAATTTTATATGTAACCAATATTTATAAGTGATGATCCTTATATAATACTTTATTGTGATTAGATAATATTATAATATTATAGTAAAAAAAATTATAACTGAAATGATTCAAATAAAAAGTTAGACGACTTTAAACAAATCTATACATTTACATTAAAACAATCTGGTGACAAAAGCATGGTAGTTAGGGATGAATTGAAATTGACATGTGGTTGGATAAGTGAAGAATTTTTTTTTTTAATTTTGAATGTTGATTTTTTTTGGAACGGAGTACAATTAAAAAAATCATTAATACTATATTTTAAAACTATGGTTTTTGGTAATTTTCTTTTGAAATTGTTTTTTGTCAAATATAATTTAGTCATAAGTTTGATCCTCAATTACCATATAAACTTTACTCATATGTCTTAAAAGAATGGGCAGACTAAAAAATAATATAGGCTAAGTAAATGTATGAGCCTTAATTTTTGTATTAGAAGAGTGGACTTAATATATAATGCTATAATAATTTTAATCTAATTTTAATTTCCATGTTTAAATTTATTATTTATATGTAACATAATAATGCTCAAATTAAAATTACTTTATCCATTCAATAAAAATTTTTTATTTTAGAAGATTTAAATTTAATATTTTATTATAATATTACATCTTGTTAATAAATAATAAAATTATATTAATTTTAATACAATATTACATGTTGTTAATAAATAATAAATTTAGAAAAACTATAAAATGAATTGACCTAATGTCGTTAGGTAATAATAGAAATTACAAAATAGATCAGTTACAATATAATGACACTTTAAATCGGTGTTAAAAGAAAAATAATTGAGGGAATAAACACTAAAAGGTTTTTAATTTGGTTTTATTGACATGGAAAGACTCTTTCTTTCCTACTTCAAATTAAATAATCATTACAATACAGGTTTTAATTATAATTTTTTATGCAAGTTTCTATTTTAGAATACACGTTTTTACATGTGCTTTATTATATCATATTTTCATTTCTAGAATCTCTATCTCCTTTCTACTTCTCATTTTCCTTTCATTTTCTTTCCTCCTGCTATTCAGGTTTTTTTTTTTTTTCAAGTTTCAAAATTTTTAGCTTACCTTTTATCATCTACATATAAAATTAAACAAATATACACACACTACATCATCTTTTACTGTTTTCAATATACAGAATATCAAAATACAACGTTCATTTTCATTCCATGCAGTGTGAAAAAATGGATAATTAACAAATAGCTCCATTGATCAATTCTTTCCTCTCATCAAATTTTATTGTATGTGACTAGCATATTTCATTATTTTAACAACTTATTAAGAGGTAATCAAATATATTCATATGAATCTTGTATGATTACAGTATATAAACTTTTGAGTATACCTATAGAATCTGAATATTAATGTTTTTTATAACTTCGTTATGATAAAAATCAAATATATTCATTTGAATCTTATTTAATTTATCCCTCATAATGAAATTTTGAATTTCATAATCCTTTGTACATATACTATTAATAAATATAAAAGAAATAAAATACATTGTTAAATTTTTTATTACACAAAATATAAATTTTAAATATTTGCAGATAAATAAATATAAAAAAATAAAATATAATAATACTATTTTAAGTTAGATGTAACAATAAATTAAGTCGATATTAAATTAATATGGGAGTAACAAAGTCCGTTAATATTACTTTTTATTACATTACAAAACAAATCAAATAATTTTATCTTATATAATTGCAACGGGATAATAAATAATAGCCATGTTACATCACTAGTTTTGGGTACCTATCCTTTTTCCACATTGGGCAACTTAAGCTGGTGGTGCGCATCCCAGTTAGGGGCATGACTCCATCATAAAATGTTTTTTTAAAAAAATTAAAAATAATTTCCAAAAGATGGAAATTTCGATTTTTAGGTTTGGTTTTCAAATTCTTTGAGTCTTTGTTTTGCCTTTCCCTAATTTAATTGGAAACAGTTTTTTATTTTAATAAGATAAAAAAAGTTTGAAAAAACATTTCTCAACCCTTTCAATGACACTTCATTTGTTTAACAGTTTTCATAATTTCATGATTATTTGTTTTATAATCCTAAACTAAACTTTTTTTAAAACTAAAGTAAATAATTTTAAATATAAAATTAATGAAATGTTTATAATGAAATTACCTGATAGATTATTATTTGCAAAATTAATTGCCTTCAAAGAAGAAATGTTGAAGATGGAATGTGGAATCAACCCACTCAAGCGCATAGATGTTATAGATAATGTCTCCAATGAAATAAGATTTCCAATCTCCCATGGAATTTCACCTACAAAAGAACAACAACCTAATATTATAAAACTATCCACTTTCTAAACATTTCAATAATACTGAGGTTATTTAAAATGCAATAAAAGTCAATTACACAGGAAACTCCTAATTTCTTCATTGTGTAAAATATGAAGGAATAATTAATTTCTTCAATACTAAAAGTTTGAGTCAAAATGAAAAAAGCATAAAAGAAAACCAAATGTGACTATTTTCATGTTGCTCATTCTATTAATTTTTATTTTTAGTTATTTCCTTTTTAATATAATTAGTAAAAAATATCAATCAATTGAAATCTAAATAATCAAATGCAAAAGCTTATCTTTTACATTATTATAACTTAGATATATCTCCTCAAGTTTGGTTAAATTTCCTGTACTTCTCGAAATGTGGCCTAAAAATTCGTTGTTACAAATATCAAGCACCTCATGTTTGAGAAGAGAGTAACACATATTTTATGTAATACTGCTAGAGAGACTATGCTATAGAGATAAATTTCTTTTAAAGAAGAAAGGTTATAGATGGAAGCCGGGATTGGACCAACAAGCCTCAGATTTGGGGCAGAAAATATCTCCAAGCTCAAATGATTTCCAATTTTCGAAGGGATTTCACCAGTGAACATAAAGAAACCAAGTTACAGGAGTTCATTCATAATGAAACAATTTGCTTGTCATTACTTTCATAATGAAACTATTAAAGTAGAATAAAAGCTTTGTTTTTTTTGTTTGGCATTACATTCACAATGAAACTATTTGCTCCAAATTTTATGAGAATATGGATTAAAATAATTAATTTAATTTTCATCTCAAACATTATCATCAAAAGATATATATATATATATATATATATATATATAAAGTAGAATAAAAACGTTTTTTTTGCGTGGCATGACATTGGTAATGAAACTATTTGCTCCAAAGTTTATGGATGTAAAACAATTAATTTAATTCTCGTTCCAAACATTTTCTTCAAAAGATGTTTTTTTTTTTTTGTATCTTTAACAGGAAATCAAAAAACTATTTCATTAGCATAAAGGTTTAATTGGTCCGGCAATCTTGTTTTTTGCACAAGTGGATCTTATTGTTGGTATGTGCTTCCAGAAAAAAAAAATCTAAACTGTTATAATATGGGCAAAATCATACCCAGACATGTTTTAGAGAAATGTTAAAATTTCAACGCTTCTTAGGATAAACCACATTGGTTTATTCTGTATTAATTAGGACATATAATATTATCATTTTACATTTTTATTGGTGCAATTGGTTATATCATTGATAACGTATCCATACTCATCGTATTAGCTAATATATATCAGTTTTGAATCGCAACACATAATATTATTGTTTTATTTGATCTTTGCATCAGCCTGTATGTATCCAACGCACTAGTCCGTTTCAGTCGTACAAGTAAAAAATGATATTTTGATTGATATAAAATTTTGCCTCTTATTTTGTCCTGTTTAAACTTTTTTATTGTCCTAACTCTTTTAATCAATTCTTAATTCTTTTGCTCTCATCATTATTTTTATTTTTTTCATGATTAGAGCCAAAAAATTAAATGTTTCCATTAAATTAGACTATTAAATTTCTTTAATGATAATTTATTAGATACTTATTATTTTTATAGTTGTTTTATTTATTTAGAATTTTGGGTATTAAATATTTAGAAATTTATAGTAGTATGATTTTTAAAACTTGTAATGGCATATGAATATGTATGTAATACAAGTGCATTTGTGTATATATGTATATTTGATAGACAAATATTACATAATACCGATAAATCTAAAACTATACAGTAAAATAACAAGGTTGTATTTCCTATTTATAATCTTTTGCTGAATAAAACTGCTCATGTTTTAGTGAAAAGTGTTTTCATCAAATAACAATTTCCTCTTTTCTTGTTGGATTATAAACGAACAACCAAATAACAGAAAAGGAAAAGAAAAAACTAAAAAGACATAAATTCTTAACAGTTGAACAATGGGATGAAATTAAAGCAATAACTTCATTCACTTCTTTCTCTGATTGACCATCATTTCTTTTAACCAAATACTCAAATAATAGTACTGCAAAATTAAGTGACCAAATGGATAATTTATCCAAAAAAAAGGGAAATCCAATGGGTAATGTCAAATGTGCTACAGCCCTTGTTATGAGGGAGGGAAATAACGCCAACTAATTTATTTTGGGCATTTGTCCAAGCATTTCAAGGAAAAGAGATAGTTTCCTTATGGTTTTTTTTTTCTTTTTCATAAATTTAAGATACTCACGGAATACTAAAGATTTTCAGCCATGAAACTTGACCGGAGAAAATAACATGAGTTTCATAGTTACTATTAATAGTAAGCAGTTTTAATTTGATATCAATAATTAAATTAAATTTAGCTCTTACTTTCAAAAATATAAAAGTAATTCTTTTACAATAATTTCAAATTATAAATTAAAGAAAGTTTATTTTGATAAAAGCTTCAATGTTGATAAGAAAATAAATAAAATTAGTCATATTTTAATTTAACAAGAAATCATTAATTATAAATAAAATATCTAAGATAATAAATTATCAAAGATATATATGTTGTTCACTATTTACGCTTTCCAATTTTGTTTTTTATATAATATATATAAATAAGATAAAAATGTTTTAATTTTTACTACTGTATTTAATCACTTTTAAAGTTGATACTTTTTATATGTAGAAGATATTTTTAATTTTTACTATTTTCTTCTATTTCTTGGCACCTTTTGATTAAATAAAAGCAAGAAAAAACCAACAACTAATTAAAAGGAGTCGTAATTAACTGTGTTGGAGTCTTGGTTAAAGTAAACCTATTTTTAGTAGGCATAAATTAGGGAGTTTTAGCTTGAATCATGTTTCACTAAATACAAAAATTAATTAGTGATCAATCGAAAGAAAATTATCGAAGAAAAAACAAAGAGCTTACCTTCCAAATTATTTCCATCCAAGTATAGCACTTTGAGCCTCGTTAAATTTCCAATACTCCTTGGAATGCTGCCACTGAATCTGTTAAAGTTTAATGTTAAAATTTGAAGACACCTGCATTCATCTATACTTGATGGAATTTGACCAGAAAACTCGTTTAAGGTCAAGTAAAATGCCTCAAGATTTGGAAGATGGCGACATATATCTTCAGGTAAACTGCCAGATAGACTGTTAGATGTAAGAGAAATCATGTGTAGGGAGGAAATGTTGTAAATGACTGAAGGGACAGAACCAGAAAGTTGGTTAAATGCCAGACGAAGTATCCTTAGATTTATAAGATTACTTATCTCGGGTGGAATGTGTCCTTGAACGAGATTCCGCCTCAAGTCCAAGATTTCCAAGTTGGGCATTTTAGCTAGTGATTGAGGGATTGTACCTGTCAAGTTGTTGCTCTGGAGGCTCAAATATAAAACTTTATTTAATCTCCCAAACCATGAAGGAATTTCCCCACTAAGAAAATTGAAGCTTAATTCTATGAGTTTCAGACGACTTAATTGCCCCAACTCTCTCGGTAAATGGCCATGAAGCACAATTTTTTATTTAATATGTACACAAATTCAAATAAGTATAAAGAGATTTGGGGACATATGGAGTGTTAGTTTCAATTCAACCCTAATACAAGTTTATGATAGTACCAGATATCAAAGCCGTGATTGGTGTAATCCAAAACTATGCAAGTAATTCTTTCTCCATGAGAAAGACAAAAGAAGTATCAATAAATTATTTTATTTTTTGCACACATTAAAGCAGATAAAGGAATTTAGTCAGAAAAGCTAGCGACGTGTTCTAAGCGCTAGGCCTTGGATCAATCCAAGTCATCTTGCTTTCCACAAACCTCAAAGCAGACTAAGAAATTTTAAATCAGGAAAGCTAGTGATCATTTTCTAAACGCAGGGATCAATCAATTTATCTTGGTTTCACACACATCAAGGCAGACTAAGAAATTTTAGGTGAAGAATTAAAGCTATCAAATGCAAGGATCAATCAAGTGGTCTTGGTTTCACACACGTCAAATCAGACAGAGAATTTTCAAGTCAGGAAAGCTAACAATCGTTTTCTAAACGCAAGGACCAATGAAATGATCTTGATTTTACACACGTCAAAGCAGACCAAGAAATTTTACGTAGAGAATTAAAGCTACAGAATGCAAGGATCAATCAGTCTTCTTGCTTTTCTCCTCCATCAAAGCAAATTATTCTGTTATCATTCCTTGGTTAGGTAATTAAATAGTTGAGGTTGGGTTTAAAAGCTTCTAATTTATAATTTTTTTAAGGTAAAGTAAATTAAAATCTTTATTATCAAAAAGATAGTAGTTTTAATTTTTTTTTTTTCTTTAAAAGATGTATTCTTTTATATAAAAGATGTCACAACTTAAATATTAAAAAAAATGTAAATATTAAAATTTAAATTTCAAATGTAATCTCTTAAGCACCAAATGAATTTAATTTTAAAATTATATTGGTTAGACAATTCGCTCGAACCTGAAAGTCATCTTCAATTTAAAAGGGCTTCGACATGAATTTTAAGTTTGTTAAATGGACTTGAACTTAAATTTTAGACCCGTTTAAGAAATATACTAGGTTTTAGACATAAAATTTACGATTTAAACCTGACCAGGCCCAAATAATTATTATATATATTTTTATATTTATATTACATAAAAATAAAGAAAATTAAATATAATATATACATTAATATCCTATGTCTATATATATTAATCACATTCAAATACTGAATTAAGTTAACAAAGTATTTTTAGGCTTTATTTTGTTGATTATTTATTTTATCATAATTAATATTAATTATAAAAATTATTTTTTATTTAAAAAATAAAATATAGGCAGGCTTAGGTAAAGTCTTTTAAAAATTAATTAGGCCTCAGCAGCAAACTAAGATCATATTTTGGGATGGACGAGTCTAAATAAACTTAAAATTTGTTAATATCCTAACTAGGCTAGGTTTGAATCCAATCCTACTCAATCCATGTATAAATTTAATTATCAATGTCATGTGTTCGTATCTAAATTGCCAATATGGCAGCAAAGACCATTTTATTTCTTTTTCTCTTTTTAATATATTTAATTAATGATTTTATTATACTATTTGAAAATTTAATATTAGTGTTAAATTTATGAAAAATTTTAATCGTAAAAGAATTATGAAAATTGGAAGAAGAAAAAAGATACCTCCATCTCCACATTGAGAATTTTGTCCTACAAACACTATTTTAGCGTAATACTAGATTTTTCGTTCTTGCTTTACAATAGCACTTTTTTAAATAAAAAAAACGATATTTAGATTTCGTTTGGTTTGATTGAATTTTTTTTTGTTTTTTGTAAAAAGTGTTAAAATAATATTTGACCAACATAATGCAAAAATGCTCTAAAACATAAAAAAAAAAACAATTTAATAATACTTTATATATTTTTATTAAATACAAATTAAAAGGCTTAACTTTATAAGCCAAACCAATAAATAAAACAAAGATATATTTTATTAATTAGAAATTAAAAAATAAATGAGATTAATAAAAAATTTGGATCAAGTAAAAAAATATGTATGTGAAATAATTCATTTTTATTATTTTATGAAATATTAACAAATAAATTGAGAATGTAAAAAGGAAAAAAAAAAAAACTAAGCAATATATTTGTTATTATACAATAACACTTTTGAAAAGGTTTTAACTTATAAAATCTTTTGAAAAACCAAATGGGTTTTATTAATAAATTTAAAATTTTGAAAGTAAAACATCTTATTTATATTTTTGTTGTAAAAAACTCTAGAATAAACTAGAACAAACACATTTAGTAATACATAAATATATATGTATATATATATATATATTTATATTTATATGTATGTGTTTTTAAAATAGTTTTCAAAGTTGCAAGAGTTTCTTTTAATAAAACACTAGCGTTCGAGATTTCACTTCGGATGTGGTCATAATTATTAAGATCGAATTGGATCATCAATCAGATCAATTGAATTGATCAGTTGGTACCTGAATTAGTTTGGTTTTAATAATAGACCAAACTTACAATTAACCTGCTTTAAACCACATTGAACCGACGGTTGAAAAAATAAATTACTGAACTAGTTAGTTTTTATTGAATCATTTTGGTTTTAATTTTTTTAATGACTTTAAAAATTATGATTAATTTAGTTTTTATAATCAAAAGTATGGATTATTGTATTATTTAATTAAAATATTATATTTTAAATTAAATAGATAATAAAAAATTAAAATCTAAATAATTAAATGGTGTTATCCATCCTTACACATTATGCACAATAAAGAATAGCTTAATAAAATTTAACTCCTTTCTCATTTATATTTTTAGGTGACACACTCATATCAAATTAAAGGACAAAAACTTGGCTAAAATTAAAACTTTAATTATCATTTTGGAGCTTGATTTGTTTTATATCAAATATCATCAATTTAAAGGTAATTTTATTTTATTTCATTTTTTAAAATTTATATTTTAAATAAGCTTTCTCTTTTTTAAACATTTTTTTTTTGTTTTTAAGTTTTTTAGAATATTTGTTTTTTTGGGGTTTTTTAATAATATGGTTGAATTATTCAATTAGTATTTTCAGAGTTTGAGTTATGAGTTTGAATTTTAAATCTATTTTCATAATTTAAGTTTATTATACTTTTTTTACACTTATTATATTCTATTATATATTTTAATTTTTTAAGTTTGAAATTATCTACAATAGAATTTTATTATTTATCACATAATGGATTAAATTTTAAAAACATTTATATATTTATATATCTTTATTAGTTTAACAACTAACTTGATTGACCCAACAGTTGAACCAATAACCTAATGCTTGGAACAGTTTAGTATTCAGTCTGATTCTGATAATTATGCGTGTGGTTACTTTTATATATCAATTTAATTAAAAAATTATTTTTTGTTAAAAATATATCAATTTAATTAAAAATGATAACAATTTTTGTTAAAAAATAGATAATAATTTACCACAAATTTGGGATTAACCCAAATCAAGAGAAGTCCAAGAAAATTGGGCTTGTTAAATGGACTTGGAACTTAGTTTGCTTCAGGTGTTGGGTCTCTGAGAAGGAAAAACAAGTTCTAGTTCTGAATCCAAGCCTACATATTGAAACTTTTTTTCAGTACAATATAAAAACTCAATTTTTTTACAATTCATTTTTTCCCTTTTACTTTTATTTAAAATTCATCCTCTTTTTAAAAATACAATCATCCACCCAGACTACTTGATTTTCAACATCGACCATCATCATTAATGCCATTTTCCATTGTTGTCATTGCTCTTTGACACTAAAATCCACCCAAAGTTTCAAAAAAAGATTTTCTCATGCAATGTGTCAATATATGTGGCATTTTTTAGATGCCTTGTGGCACTTGAAAATCACTTCTTTCTTATCTACTTTTCCTTTTGTTTTTCTCTCCATTGAAACGATGTAGTTTTAATACAAAATAAATAAAATTAGTCTTAAAAACACTAAACACCATCTTTTCTTTCTTTTCTCTCATTCTCATCACATTACCTTTTCTCATCGTCAGCCTTTTTTTCATAGCTATCACTGTTGTTGACCTTTGTCTTGTTACATTTGTTTTGTTGACAATAGCTCTCTTTTCTCTTTCATTTTTTTCTTTTTTGTTATTAGTGAAAATCTAAAAATCCCAATCTCCCTCACATTATCTTCCTTCATGGGTGGCCTTAGATCCTAAAAAAACAAAAAGACAGAAAAAAAAACTAAATGAGGGTGTGATGTGGACACCAATCTTTTTTTCTTACAAAATTTAACATATGACATTTAAAAAATAAAAACTAAAAAAAATAGGTTGAAATGAAAAAAAATTTGAGTGTCACGTTAATACCTTTATTGATATCTTTTTTATAAAATTATCTAATTAAGAAAAGGACTAGAAAAGTATTTTTTTATCACTAATATCAAATAGGGCCCATATCAATTTTTTTAAAATAAAATTTTTTATTAAGTATAGAGAAAAAAAAAAGAAAAATAGAGAAACATAAAAAAAGAACAAAGAAAAAAAAAGCAAAGGTGACATGTGGCAAATTCTATGAAGAGTTAACATGAGTAAAATTAATAGCATTATTACAAATTAATAGGATGGATTGGATTTTTAGACATTTTAGTTTATTTTCTAAGGTCAATATAGGATTTTAAAGGGGGTAAATATTGTTGTTTATTTAACAACATAATACATTTCTTTGAAATTTATTATTTAAAATTTTCAAATTTAATTTTTTACTCTAAATTGATATGCATAAAAAGATTGTGAGATATTTTTTGAATAGAACCAAAAAATCTTTAAAAGGTAAATTA